CTACATAAAATCATTTTTATTATTTATTCTTACAAGTTTGTGTGTTGTGTTTGTGAATGTTAAAGATATATTTTCTTAGTGTTTTAGCTTCTGCCTTTGTTACAATTATTAAACATAAAATAAACAAACATAACGTGTTATGAAAATTATGTGACGGCTTTTCATAATTAAATACGGAATTAGAAATAATATTAACAACAATAATAATCTTATACCTACTATTTAATGACAACGGAACACAATCATCGTAACCAATATTAAAATAACAATAAACTGAACGTGATTGGTTTTCGAATGAACAAAATGAAACTACATTAATATTTATGTATATTCAGTAGTAGCATTTCACGGACGGGTTTGCCTACAAAATAAAATATCTATGTCCAGTCTCATATTTAAAACTATATAGATACACCATTTGCATGTACCTATTATCAGTACCGTCAGTAATGTCATTGTTAACGTAAATTGTACTTTACTTCCATTATATATAGTGTGCATATTCAGCCTCGGGTTCGCTTACCAAATTGAAAATTGTTCCAATAGTTTCTTGAATTACCTATCGATTTTTTTCCTTGTAAATAGCGCGATGTCAGATTGTAGTCAACTTTTACGATTTATAACTAGTACAGTACGTATTTAATTCACGTTCAAGAAAAACATACATTTTCGCGCTTTGTTCTTTTATGACAACATCATCGTTATTCGACATTTATATTATTATTATGTAAAATAAATGATCTAGTTCATTTTAATTAGATTTACTACGGAATATAGTCTTACAAAGAGTCGTAAACTTGTCGAAATGTTCGCGTTTTACTAGCGCAGAATTTTAAATAGATACATCCTACGTTTATTGTAGCAATATACGCGTGATTTATAATAATATCATTCTTATAAATCTAGAAGTATTTACGTAAAACATGTGAAGAAAAATAATGCCACGATCCCAAGAAACCTTTCCTAAATTATTACGGCACTTAATTGATTCAAATAAACCATCTAACCACTTTAAATTCTATTGCCTGATAAGCAACTGGTTCTCAAAACAGGACCAACCCCAAAACGTACATAACTTATTCGGATAATTATTGTTGTAATCAAAATAATAAACTTGGTATAAAATAAGGAGGCTGAATCGCTATGCAATCGCTTTTATACTGTGTTTATTTTATTACAAAATTAAAGATTTTTTTATGTTTTTATTTTATTAAATTGCTGTGCACAAAAACATTTTTCTTTAAAAACATTGCAACGTTTTAACAGAAGCTGAAATGCTTTGATAATAAACATACATTTTTATTCAAACCTTTGCTCGGGTGATGTAAGGTACGATAAGAGTAATTTCGCGAACCCGGTTGCAACAGTGTTTTTTTTTGGTAGCCGCCAGAGTAGTGAATGTCTTTTAAGGAGCTGATACATGTGAGAAATACATTTTATGGCCTGTTACACATATAAAATCGACAGCGATCCAGTTTTCGTCACGTATTCGCGGTACTCTTTTTATATCAGCCCACTGATGTATAGTGGGTTGCAGATTGCGTCGGTTTGGCGACCAAGGATTTTGATTTTATCTTACTAAAATACTTCGTAATAAGTTACTGAGATTTATTTGTTTTAGCAGTTAATAAGGAACTGAATATACAGCCGGTAACAGCGGGGTGAATAAATGAATTCAGTATGTTGCTGCGTTCATGAATGGAATCCTTACTTTTTAATCGGTCCGTATAATTAGGTGATTCGTTAAAGCAAGAAGTATAAAAAGGAACGCACGAACAGGTTACATAAAAACTGTCAAAAGTATTTTAAAACATTAATCCGCAAAGAGCAATTCATCTTAAAAACGTCAATCGGTTTTAAATTTAAATTGCGGCGTGAAAGCATGAAGTGCGGTGGACGTTTCAAAACAGGATCTTAAGAATATTCGCCTGCAAATGTGTTATGGTGGAATATAAAGAGATGATTAATTAATATAGAGCTGAGGAATATACTATTGTATTTAAACAATCGACAAAGCATGTGTAACTATGAAACGTTTTGTATATTTCCTACGATTTAGTTTCGCATTGAGTATTGATGCAGAAAAAATGGATCGGTTGCTATTGAAATAAATGGGACTATGTATGTGATAAATTATTTCCTAAATTCGAATTATTTGTTAATTTGCTTTATAGAAAAGAAAGGTATATAAAAACTTAGGAATGTAATTGAAACTATATAAAATTAATGATTCGTCCTACGCGTGCTATCGCAATGCGACACAAATAATTTATGTTCTCGCAGATTTATTTTAAATTTAATCTAAATGGTTCAACGGATAAATCAATTTGGAAACTTTGATTTATTCTAAATTACAGTTAATTGGGAAAGGAAATGAGTGTTATCTAAGTACCTAAATAGGAAAAAATAAGAATTAGCAATTGCACTTCGATAAGATAAGAAAATACGCATATAATGTTTTTGATTTTTACGACAAATAACCTTTGGAAACGAGTCTAATTGTAGAACACAACTAAATTCAATATAAAGATAAACCGAATTTAATTAATAATAAATTATAACTTTAAATAGGTATGAAACTACAACTCAAACATAAATGCTCCACATTAGTCGTGAACGATTTACCCTTTTGATTATTTTTACCAATTATGTATAAAGTATTTATGTACCAGTATGAAGAGTACAACTAATCAAAATCAAACTATAACAAAATAATAAAGAAAACATAAAATATTAATTGTATGTACCACAAGAACTTGTTAATATCAACTGCTACCGAGTAATGTAAGTAAAACTTTAACAAAAAAAGGCTTCGACGCCGACGGCGGGCGGACGACGGCGGCCGCGGCGGGCGGAATAACTGTTCACATGAACTAGGTCGAATTATCTCATTTTTACTACATTTTCTATCAATGAAATTAAAAGTGAAAACGCCCTTCACTTTTTATTTTGTGATAGGTCAGTGTTATAGTCATGAGATCCTTTAATTGAATAAATCAGATCCTTTAATTGCAGAAACAGTTATGTTCTATTGAGGAGATCTCATAATACAATTTATTAATTGAGATTAAATCAACTTAAATTTTATTCTGTTCTGTATTCAATTTGAAAATAAATGATGGCTTTGTTAATCGTTTTATTTGCTATGTTTTATAATCAAGCCTAATTTCTTATTTAAATGAGTTATAAAAAAGGAAAAGATCAAATAGTTTTATTTAAATTTATGTTAAATTGTATATAATATAATGATCGTTTATTAGAACATCCAATAAATTTAATTCTTATTTATTTGGAATCATAAAATTGTCAAAACTGTATTGTTAAAGAAGTTCGTTTCATTTTAAATTTATTCAAATTTAATTGAGACGTTCCGAGATATAATAATTTATTCTGAAATACGGTTTTACACATGTTGCTTTATGGATTTAAATAATTTTCGTATCATTAGTGGCTCGTAATTTTCATTTCTATCAACACTGAATAAATCACAGATAAAATATTTAGTTTTAAACTGTTTAAGTGGGAATTTGTAGACATTTTAAAATCACAATCACATGTGAATTATTTCTATTTTAAATATTTTATTGATGTTGGAGGACGAATAAATCTAGCTTACAGTATGCACCAATAAATAAGATATATACTTATCGCGGTGACAGTAAAAAATAAAACTTCACCTACCTGTTTCAGCAGAAAAGATCATAAATTTTCACGTGATCCTTTTCAATTTTGTTTCAGTTTTTAGCTAATAATCGCACAAGATTGATATTTTTTTAAAGAGTTCAATTAAAAATATCCTTCCGTTCAGAATATTGTAATTACACAGAGTATCGGTTTCACTTTCTCATTAACACTTTTATTTGGTTCAAACAGTAAAACACACAGTATTAATAAAAAATAGTTATTCGCGATTAGTTAACCACTGGGCACTTGTCCATAAAAAATATCCATTCCATCACTTGGGGCGAAATATTTTTTTAAAGTGTCCGCGCGAGCTTAAAGCTGCGGAGCGTTACTATGTGCGCGTGCGCAGGTCGGCGTGGCATCGCGTTATCAGCGCGAGCGGCGCGGCGCGCGACAACAACAGAACTTGAGAGTCGATCTCAATAACAACAAGAAAAGAAAACGGTCCAGTTTCAGCGGGGCTTCCGGATGGGTCGTGGACGGGGCGCGGGCAGGCGGTCGTACTGCTCGCACGTAAGGCGGTGTTTCGCTCTCTTTGTCTAACGGTACCGATGCGCGCGCGCCGCGTGAACGATAGCGCGGCTAGTCGCGAACGCGACGCCGCCCCGTGCGCACCACAGCCTGCGCAAACGCAATACTACTGCATGCTTCTTTTCCCGCCACTTTTACGTGTATGAGATCGTTTTCAGCATTACAGAATATTTTTTTAACTTTTGTCATTCACTAGTTATTTTTATATTTTCTTTTATTATGAAATTTTATATTTAGTAATTATATAAGGTTATATTGCCATTTATCATTTCAAGGCAAGTTTTCTTTTATCTGTTAAGTATATCAGTTAGGTAATGCTCACAGCGATTTATTTAGTCCACTATATTTTTCATATTATTTTTAAGGTAATAACATTTAGTTATTAACTACTGGTTACTTAATTACTATTATTTCTAGTTTTGTACAAAGACTTTTTTTACTTTCAATTTTTGGATATGAATTCACTCCGCGTTGATGTCTAATATATGGAGTATCTTTAATACTGGAGCGTTCGGTACAATGCAACCAAATGCTTCTAAACATTATAAAAGCTGGTCTTAGGACATATCAGACATAGAGTAATTCGGTATAAAAGCCAGAATTTATATAAATGTGTTATTGAAATGTAGCATTAAGAAAATATACTTCGTTGATGTCTAATATATTGAGCACTTGTAATACTAAGGAGCGCTCGGTGTCAAATGCAAACAATTGCTTCCAAATATTATAAGGGTTGATTTCAGTGCTTTAAACTAATTTGAGTGTAGTTTTGATCTCATCTTATCCTTAAAGAAAGGATGTGGTGATACAATATATAATAAGATCTCAAGTCTAGACAGTAAAGATTGTGATGATTGATGGTTTGTTTTATTGTGATTTCTTATTTGGTTTGTATGTCTAATATAATTTATATTTTGATTAATTACATAGCAATGCCACGAAAAAAACGAAAACAAGATCTCAAAATCGAAAACTCAAGAAACAATCCACTTCATACTAAATACGTAATAAATCAACAAAAATCACACGTCGGCCGTTCACCGAATTTCAATATCAAAGCGAAAATTAATTTCAATTTGAATATTTTTCACATTCGTTATATTGGCCGTATTTTGGCGGATAAGCATATCGTTATTCAATAAATAACTTGATCGAACATAAGTTTTATATTAAGAGGGATTTTTACACAATAAGAGGGAACGCCGGGGGCTTCACGTGCGGTACCGACGAAGCCTTATTAAATTGCAATAACAGTCATGCAGTTACGTGTTTTAATCTTTTTACATTTATTTGCAGGCCTTTGGGTATAAGGTTCTTTAGAAGAAAATATTGAAGGATTTAATGATTCTAGTCAAAGTCAAAGTCAAAGTCAAATCATTTATTTCAATTAAACCATAGTTTGGTACTTTTGAAACGTCAACAAATACAAAATAAATAATAGTCTGTCAGTCAGTCCGTCAGTGAAGCTAGGTGAAGCTAGGTGCTCATTCCAAAACGTAGATTCGAATGGAGAAGAATGAGCAAGAAACTCCATTCGTTGAGTGAACTTCAATGTTACCTTATGTATAAATAAGGGCTGTATAATAATGTAGACTAATTAGTTTTACACAGAGTACACTAATAATAATTTAATCAAAGAGTCATTGCACTGTCAATTCACAAATATTTGTAATGAAATTGAAATCAATTACAATAAGTTTTTTTACACGCAGAATCTTTCCACTTTCAAATCAATCAGTCTTACTTCCACTTTCAAAGCATTAAATTAAAAAAAAAACTTATGCGAATCAAAATAACAAACTAAAATTTATGCACCATTGCTACTGTTCTCGTAACATCGCAGTGACCGCTCTCAGCTCATGTGGAGGTATCGTGTGAATCTCATCAATAATAGACCAGTTCAAGGCTTTGGGAGATTCTCTGCATTGTTCCACCAAAAGATACTACACCTTTGTATTAATGTATTACGTACTGAACGACGTGACCTTTGAATTATTATTCATAAATATGGTATTACTTTTTATCTCAGATGTAGAGCGATGAATCTTCAAACAAGTGGGGTAAATATTTTTTTTTTGTGTTTTGATATAACGTCTTTTTATCTACAGGAATGTGATTTTATCAACAGCCTATAGGTACCCACTGCTGAGCAAAGCAGTTTCTCATACGGAGATGATTTAAGCATTAATCATTATGCTTGCTCATTGCGGGTTGGCGATTTCAAACTTATAATTAGAATATATGAGTCTAGATTTCCTCACGATGATTCAAATCCAACACTTTTAGCTTATCCACGTTTCCCATCACTCGATCTTTCATATTTTTTTTTATAATTATCATAAAAATTAACTCCGTACAATGTATGTGCATTCTGTCACCAAATAATTCACAACTCGTCAACCACACGAGACGACACAGTTGGTCCAATTAAATCATCTTTTTCATTACCATCTACCTTAAAAGCAACTTTAAGCCTAATTAATGAAGTCCACGGAATGAAATGTCAGATATAATTTAACGAATTATGTATGAAAATTATACCACGGACCGAAAGGAGTTGATTAAATGTTACTGGTGTTGAAGTGAAATTAATATTTTGGTACAATTACTAGATGTTACTAGATTTATTTTTTAAGAAATCTTATTTTATGTAATTTATATCATATCTTATATTTTGTACAGCAACTATTAAAATTTACATTTTGGTTTATAAAAATGTAATACTTTCTATTTTCGTATCAAAAGGCTAGTGAATATTCACTTGGAAACATAGTAATTGTAATTGGGTAGAAAACTAACACAGATTGAATAACCCAACAGGAAAATTGTGACATTGGTCAAAGGAATGGATGCAATTTGATATTATCAAAAAAATACTAATAAGAAAATGTAATCAATTGGTAATTTTATATAATCTCTAATTCCACAGACCACCAACAACATTAAAAATATGTTGACACAGTAAATCACGTTGCGAGACTCACTATCGTAAAATCACCATTACTTTCAGTTTCAATTAAACACAATTTTTATCTTCAAGCTTTTTGTGAATTACATAATATTTCGCGTGTTCGCCATACATTTTCATGGCTCCATCGTTTTTATTGCAAGTGTAAGTTTCCGATTTTATTCTATTTTATGTTACAATTTTCTTACGTGCATGTTACACGATTAATGATAACATGGAGATTATATAACATACTAGCGACCCCCCGGCTTGGCACGGGTGCAATATGCATGTATTACACATATAAATCTTCCTTAGGAATCACTCTAATTATTAAAAAAAACCGCATCAAAATCCGTTGCATAGTTTAAAGATCTTAGGATACATAGGGACAGACAGACGGCGGATAGCGACGTTGTTTTATACTATGTAGTGATTGTCGGGATTATGTTGTAGAACATATTATATAAGATATAGGGAAAATATTATTCGGAAAGATACAAAAAAGTGCCTAGTATTACAAATTAGCTTATAATTACGATGTTTGTTTGTTTGTTTATTTGCTCTTAAAAGATGACAAATTGCTATCTGTTTGCATTACGTTGGAAATAATATTAGCTGTGTGTAACTGTGTGTGACATTTTTTCTGTTCTTGAATATATCTTATGTCGCATAAACACGAACACAAAACGAAAAAATAGACAATAGTAATTCATAATTTGGTAGCCACATTGATAATAAGTTGACAATTGAAAATTATAACGAACATAATAAGGTTTTAGTTAACAATAGGTAGGTACAGCATTTGTAGTTTACAACTATAAACTTATCAATTAAGCATTCAATTACGTGGTAATTGAATTAGCAATTCATATAGAATATTAATTAAGTTCTAATTCTCAAACTTCTTTTTCTGTTTAGTAAGAAGTTTATATATTAATA